AGCCAAGATAGCGATTATTACTAAGTTTTCTTATTAAAAACGAAGCTGTGATGGCGGTTATTACTAAGTTTTCTTATTAAAACCGAAGCTGTGATGGCGGTTATTACTAAATTTCTTAGTAAACTGAAGCCGCAATGTCGGTTATTACTAAGTTTTCTTAGTAATCCGAAGCCACGATAGTGGTTATTAATAAGTTTTCTTAGTAAACCGAAACTGCAATGGTGGTAATTACTAAATTTTCTTAGTAAAACCGAGACTGCAGAGTTATTTTACTAAGTTTAATAGTAAAAATTCACCTGTTACTAAACTTACTTTGTAAAAGCTATTTTTGAAATTTTTTAGTGCAATTACTCTTAATTAAACCTTTATAATAACTTTATTTTAATATATTATTGTAAAAATTAAAAAATTTTTTATATTCGATTCGATTTGATTCGATTCGATCAAATATTTGATTTGATTTAATTTAATTTGACAAATATTTGATTCAATCAAATATTTAAGTTCAATTCAATTCGATTCGATTTGATTTGATTTGAAAAAATCAAATCAAATTTAAATTGCTTAAATATTTGATTCAATTCAATTTTGAGGAACCCTATTTGCAGTAATAATCATATTGATCCTTTATAGTATGCTATTAATCTATTTTTTGTAATATTTCTCAGATATTAGATGGTAATAGAATATAACATCAAACCATTATTTTCATTTTTGTTCAAAGATTTTCAATTGGATTTAAGATTGGAATATTACAAAAATTGATTGATAGAATATTATTCAAAATCTTAAAGATCAAAATCCTAAAGGGTTGTAATCCCAAAGTCATAATTCTTAATGATTATAATTTTGAAGAGTCAAAATTTCGAAGGTTTAAAATCTCAAATAATTATAATTCTATATGATTATAATCTCAAATAATATATATTTTTTAAATACAATATAATTGTTAGCAGATTTGATTTGTATTATAAGTAGAGTACCACTATATAATATAATTATATTATATGGTGTTACCCCACTTGCCTTAGATTATAGTATTATTATATAATCTGAATATCACTATATAATTTGAATATCACTATATAATCTAAATACCACCATATAATCTAACTACCACCATATAATCTGAATATATAATTTAACTATCATCATATAATCTGAATAATATAATCTAATTATCGTCATATAATCTATTTATTTTTTCGTGTTAGATATCTATTTTATATTCTAGCTATTCCTTTAAACTCTTTCTGATATTTATATCATTTACCACCATATAATCTAACTGCCACCCACCATTTAATCTAACTACCACTATGTGATCTAAATACCACGCTTTTCTTCTTATTTCTGAGTCTTTTGCATACCAATTTCTATATTGTGGTTGTTAGTTTTCTTAGCTATTTGGATACCTAGTTTTATAATAAGGGTATTGACCTCTTGCGCCTGATTGAGTGCTAGATTTTATATTGAGTTGCTTACCCTTTGCGTCTATTTGGTTGCCTTTTAAAATACTGAAATGGTGTAAAAAAAGGCGATAGGTGGCACAGTGGATTTGCGATTAATTTTGACTGGCTCTATGGTATAACTCTGGCTAATCTTTTGGGCATGTGATTTGGGGATCCAGCTTGGCATTATTATGGTGACTTGGTAGTATCCTGGAACTATTATGGAGCTGTCATAGAACTTTCATAGAACTGGCGGAAAGCTAGATAGATTTTATTGGTTTGCTAGTTTTATGTCAGCTTGGGTGACGAATTATTATATCGCGGATAAAAGATATCTAAACTGCTTTTCAAGAGTTTTACGGTGAGGAGTGGAAAACAAGGTTAACCGCTAATTATCACCGACTTTCCTGACAAATTTCCATTAACACATAACTTTTCATCATATTGCCCATTATGTAATCAGAAGTATACTAGTGATAATGCATATATTATATGAAATAAAAAATCATATAGCTTTAAATGTTACCGCACAAATCATGAACGAAATCCTAGAACGATAAATCCCTTAATAAAGCTCACTATTAGCGAGACAGCCTTAGATAGGGAAAAAATCTTCCAATGCCAGAGAAACAGGATCAGCCTAAAATTTCTGACCCTAATGATTATTTCGTGTAGTGGAATTTAATATCCATGTATATCTCTAAGAAAAGATTTACACGTAATGAAATATATAATGCAATTCAAGCAACGATTGCTTGCATCTAAAAGAAAACGAAAACATGGATACTCAAGCATAAAAAATCAGATAGTGGATTATATTTCGATATGTGATCCAAGTTAGATTTCGGTAAATTAATCATTAGTATCGTTGAGTTAGGTAAGAAAGCGATAAAATTACATTCTTTAATATAAAATGCATTTAATACTCATTTGATTACTTACACGGATATTGGTTTCCTACTATACCCCAAATTCTATTCTACTGAAAACTAAATTCTTCAATTTTTTCCTGGGTTTTAAGACTAAACCAGCTTCTCAGATTAATTACGACCTAGTGAATCCAATCATTTGACATATTGAAAATATCTGATGTAATGGAGACAAATCTTTCTGAATATATTCTGAAATAGTTCGCATTCTTAGTTCAGCATCCTAGTATAATCCCTAGAACTATTATTGTATTACGCTCCCAACCATGTTATGGGAAAAACATTATTACTGATTTCATTTGAAAAGCTTATTTATCCAAAGCTCGTATATTCAACTTCTGACTTTAGAAAAATTCTTGGAAAATTCAACAGTGCTATTCAAGAACATAAGCTTATAATTATGAATGAGGCAGGAATAGCCAGTGGTGAATAGCATAAAGCAAATAACCATTTAAAGTTCCTTATTACAGAAGATTACGTCTCGATTGAACATAAGGGATTAGAATTTCAAGAGTGTAGTCATTACCCTGGATTCATAGTTTTAAGTAATTATGATGTCCTAATTTAAGTGGAAATGGGAGATGAACATATTGTATATTTATATGTTTCTTTCTGCTGTAAAAGTAATTTCACATATTTTGATCAATTAGGAGGAATTCTTGAGCATCCCGATACACTAGAATTATTTATGATATATTTGCTTAATCTTAATCTTTCAGAATGGAAGCCATGTAAGATTCTACCAACTAAAATGAAAATAAAAACCATGTAAGATCAGCTTTTTAATCCCATTCGATTTATAATTGATTATATTTCCTTATGAAGTGAGGATCAAGTAGCTAAGCCAAGTTATACAGTATTATACCAGAACTATGTTAAATGGTGTGGAGGGAATGGTAAAAAGCCATTTTCTAACAACATCTTTGGTAAAAAATTCTCAGAGATTAATATTGAATGCAAGAAGGCAAATGGTGAAAAAAGAGAATAGCAGTATATTCTATATTACTCTAAGATTGTAGTTAAGATACGTGAAACGGTAAGTGATATCAAAGAATTTTCTGAAGATACATCTCAATCTGATTTACCCAAAAATGAGACAGCAGACATATCTATATTTAATGTACCGGAAATTATTCTCCCAAAAATAATTCTGTCTCAACCAGAAAAGAGTATACCTTCACCTAGAACTAGTAAAGATAAGAAGGCAGATAAATAGGACAAAGATACCTGTATTTCAGTCGCCTTAACATCCAGGACTTTTGAACTATTAGAGCTAGTAATCAATGAATCCAAGACTATTGGACTTTCCGAATCTATCAAGCCCATAAGTAAATTCACAAATATGCTTCCTAAAGAGATCCCAACTGATTCTTCAAAGCCTATTAATCAAGTATTATCTGCCATTCTTCTATCTAGAGCCTAGCGAGAAGAGCGTCTCAGAAAAAAAGCAATCGAACTTGGTGAGGATCCAGATGCCTTTGTGACTATCACTGAAAAAGACAGGCTTGATTACATTACGTTCTGTGATAGGATGGAAACCGACTCTCGAATGTGTAATTACGCAGTAGAGTTAGAAGAAGATCCCAATAAATATATGGATATGAAAGTACAGGAAAGATTGATAGGAGAAGAAATTATTCATCGTAGACTTGAGAATAATAGAGTCACAACCTCATGACTTGATACCGACGAGAAATGGCAAAAAACCATAAGCATACTCCAGAAGAATAATATGCTTTGGTAAAGAGTAAGTAAGAAGCCAGTTTATAAGTAAGGTGTTTGGATAAGAGGGTTTATTTGTTCTTTACAACTAAACGATATAAAATTCTGAATTATTATTTTTTTGTTCGCTTGGGAATATTTTTTCGAATTGAATTTTTCTTACTTAGTATAATCTGAATAACACAGATTAATCTAACTATCACCCTATAATCTACATACCACTTCATATCTGTTATTACAACCAAATTTGTTACAGATCACAAATTTACTAAAGAGGTGAGTCTCGAAGAGCTTAGCCAATATGCGCCAAAAATACTTAGCTCTTAACAACTGATGTGCCAAAGGTAGAGAAAGAAAAAAGGCGTCAGGCTCGTGATCACCTCCAAAAAAGGTATAATTTTAGCAAAGAGCAGGCATATGCATTAATTCCTCACAAGAGAATTGGGCGAAGAAAAAGCCAAGTAACTCCCAAAGAAGAGAAACCAGCAGGGGATGTAAATATATGTCAAGTATCTGATAGTACTTGTTCTGAGGAGACTATTAAAGAAACAGCTCAGCGTATTATTCGAGATAATCTTAGTGAAAGAGATGTAAAAGTGATATCTAGAACTTTAATCGAAACCACAAATTTTACCAACAGGCCGTCAGAAAAACAAATGATTTTTATTGTTGAATATTTATTATCTAAACTAAATTCTAAAGAGAATAAAAAGACCAATTTACTATCTAGTATTTAAAATCTTAATGTTTACTATTTATATGATGTCTACAGTTTGAGTCACGAACATACCCTTTCCTACAAAGATTACACCAATAATTTTTCTTCGGAACAATTTCATCAATTTCACCAATTAATCCTCCAACTTTCTCTTCTTCATATTTAATAATATTATTCATATCATTCCAGATCTCTTTCAATAACTTCATTAGTTATAGTCTTTTGATCTTTGGACAAGAATTCCTTACTTTCGAAAGATGTTGATTCATCAACTGATATCTGTAATAAAGTAGGTAGTTATTGTTAAATTTCGAGATCACGCAAATTATCGTTATTATCACTAAAATAATATTACCTTTATTTCTTTCACTTCATTCTCATCCTTCTTTACTTGAAATTGATGTTGCGTGTTTTTGACAACTCTACAGCTAATTTGACAATTTTCTTTGCTAGTCCTAGACCTAAAGCACTTTCAAGAGATTTAGCATCGCCAAAGATCTGAAGAACTTGACAGTTGTCAGCTTTGTCGTTCATTATTTCGACCATAGGAAGAGATTTTTCACCAGGCATGACATCAATAATACAATTATTTTTCAAATGTCGATTTATATATTATGTGAGAAAATTTTTTTTAAAATAAAGGTCCTGAATGTAGAATAGTCCCGAAAGTTCTTAAACCGTCCCTGATTTGTACATTCGCCTAAAAAATCTCCGATGAATTCTCCCCATATGACACAAAAATTAAATGCGCAGTACAATATCTTGCCGAAAGAATAGCATTCACATTATTTTTTTCTAGCTTATGCAAAAAATCTACCGCAGTCATTTAATGGAATTCGGCCGAAAAGGCTATACATTGTATCAAGTAGAGATGTATGGTGAATAAAAAATTTGTATATGAGTAGCATTAAAGTTTTTTTATTATAATTTTAAGTATTAATTTATTAAAATATGCAAACTACATAAAGATAAAAGCACATGCCTAACTCTAATAGTTTGGAGATACATTAATTAATTCAATAAATTACTAATCTTCATTAGCGAAGAATCAGTTATTGACGAATCATTTTTACCGATCACTTGTTGATTTATGTTTCTTGGACCGCTTTCTTCAAGTAACATTAAAAGATCACCACAATAATATGCTGAAGAATCACGTGAATCATCTCCTTCATCCAAAGTACTATACGCCTTATATAATCTTGATTTTTCTGCCTCCGATGGAAGTCTTGGCAATTCAGAGCAAAGTTTTCGTTTCTTTCCGGAAATCCTTTTGTCAAGAAGATTTCTCAAATAAAGGCCATCCTTGCAAACAACCTGCCTCAGATAAACTATTAAATTGAACGTGTTTTCGATATTAATTCCAATGCAATCTGATTGCAGGTCAAAGCTCTTGATGTCTTGATCATAAAGATATAAGACGGTATCGTATTCTTGGCTGTAGAGAGGTCTTAACATTCCAAAACGTATATGAGCATTATTTACTAAAGCAACGTGCATTCGGATCAAGGATATTTCCGATTCTGAATACGTATGCGTCGAAAGTATGCGGTTTAGGGCATGGGACGCTTCAGCAACAACAACAGCATAATCTTTATGGACCTGCATACCACCAACTTCAAACTCCAAGATAAAAAAAGGGTACTGCTCCTTTGTGGTAAGGGAAGTAGCAACACATGCAAAATCTGACCTGGCCGATCCCTTCCCACTATCACCAGGAATTTAATGATGGAGTTCCCATGTAGGTTCAAAAGGAACAACATTAAGAGAAAATGCATCCGACAATATTTTTGTCCATAGCTGGGATTTAAAATGATTTTCAGATGGATCAGCACCAGGGCGAACTGGTAAGGGTGTGAATAGTAGGATTGATGTCAATGCAGACAAAGCTGTTGGTGCATCAATAGCAAAATCAGCAGGCTCTAAACCCAACCAACGTTGTATCGTGCCTACAATACCTGACCGCACCATTCCCATTTTACCTTCTTATATGATTCTATTTAATGCTGGGATAACATCTTGCAGTTTTTGATGTCGGGTATCCTCTAAAGCCGCAATTACAATATCAAAATTTACAGCCGGTCTCCATAGGTCTGGATAACATATAGGATCCTGTGCCGGGAACAATTTACTGTCCACAACTGACCAAGAAAGTAATTTGAAGAGGTGTCTGCCACGTTGAGACTCTTCTTCAACACAATGGTCCTCCAATCGCTCTAATATATTACAATATTCTTTCAAGGCCGGAAAAGCCATTGTATTTACAGAAACATACTGGATATTATAGTTGGCTTTTTGTTCATGGATCTTTGAGAAGTGTGCTTGCGTCTAATTGAAAAAGATTACATTGTAATTATTGTAATTCTAAATCATGCAACATAAATATAACTACCTCTGGAGATAAATGAAAGAAGTTATTATCATCATCGTCATTATCCTGCCCAGATTCATCTCCATGATACGATCCGTTTTCATCTGCATAAGCATTGGAGAAATTGTCATTATGATATCTTGATGTAAGTGGACCATTAAGATCGTTATCTAACTGAGCATGAAATTCGATATGAGCTTGACGCTTCTTTTTCTTTACTTTTTTCTGTTATTATTTCAATTTTTGTCAGTATAGTCAGAGTTTGAAAAATCAATTCGTATAGCCTGTTATCTGGAAAGTAAGTTAAACTTGTACGAGATAAAACTTCCCCTTCTTATAATAAAAACACATACGTTTGCTTTTCTATTTTCTTTCCAATCATCATAACGTGACCAGTCGTTATCATAGTAGCCCGAAAACAATTTTTTTTCTAATTCTAGCAATTTCTTCGAGTTAAGGTCACATTCAAGCGCTTGCTTCAATCGTGTTTTATATTCTGATCTGGCTGCTTGCTTGCTACGTAATCCAAATTCTATATAAAAGTTTAGTGGTGTAGGATCTGGGTGATTGAGTAGGAAATAGACTTTTTCTTCTCGTTTTTTATTCATTTTTAATAGCGATGTAAAATTACATAAGAACAAACTAAAGAGTTTTGGAATATCTGCAATAATCGCAAAAAAAAACGCGTACACCAGCCAATAAATTTGATCGATAGATCGGATCTCAAATAGACACGCGACAGCCAATCATATTTTTGGTCGGCAATAAAAAGGGCCGTTTATATAACTAAATTAATAAAAATCAATTTTTTTTATTAATAGTTTCTCCAAAGTACAGCTGGTTTACTCGAGCGGAAAAAACCCTCTGTGTTACTCGCTTGTATTCTGCGGACGTTTTTAAAACACAATCCCTGCGCAAGCGTCTGCTAGGTATTAAGTTGAAGGTCAGGAAAAAACCCTCAGTGTTATTCATCTTGGATAGGCAGAGACGTTATTACCATTCATTTGGGAGTCTGTCTGCTAATGACCCCCTGTGTCGACCAGGATGGTACGCTTCAACGCCAGCTGTGCTTTCTCTCTGCGTCACATAGCATTTGAAGCTTCTATGTTTTTTAATAAAAGATTGACCTCCAGATGAAATTTTCAAGAAATAATAGTATAGTCACTTGTATAGAAATATTGTGTATCCGGGCTGGAGTGAATATGGATGGTTTAGACGAAAAAAAAGTCATAGCATAGAAACTTTATCACACTTTGTAAAACAAGTTTATGTATTATCAAATCTTGTAACTTATTTTTTACATCAATAAATCAGTAATTCTGATGAGGATATTACCTTGTTTTTTTATCTATTACTATACTAACTCGAACTTTTGAAGTATTCCTTCTTATATAAAAATATTATCAAACATGCAATCTGAGATTGATTCATTGAAACAACGCGTCGTCGAGCTTCTTGCTGAGAATGCTGAGATTAAGGCCGAAAATGCCGAGGTTAAAGCTGAAAATGCTAATTAAGGCAGGCTATAGAAGCGAATGAGGCCAGATTCGTAAAACTAGAGCAGAGCGATAAAGAAAAGGCTGAGCTCATTGCAGAACTAAATTGTGATGTTGGAAAAATCAATTTGCTATTCATGTTTCGGTGCAAGACGGGACATCCGTGGTGAAATCTCCCACTCGTTCAGAATTACAGGTGACTTCTCAATCATCCATTTCACCGCCTATTGAGGGTAAATCTGAGAATAGCTCTGATGTAACTCAACCCACTCATGCAGGATCTAAATTATTGGAGGATAGACAGACCGATGAATTCCTGATTTCGGTAAGTAAGAAAGAGGTAAAATAGCATTATCTTGTGATTAAAAAAGCGCATATTACTAATATTATTTATTAAACTCATTATAATAAGTCCATTCAATAGTATAAATATTAATGTGTAATAATATGATAAAAAAATTTAAATATTTGATTTTGATTATTTATGCAATTCTTTTCTTTTATTAAAATTTTTATATAAATAAAAAAATAAAAAATTAATCTAATTGCATTAAACCTTTAATAAATAATTATCTATTATTTTGTATAAGGCACTGACATATATTAGCTAATATAATTTTAATATAAGTGCATACCCCACCCTCAGGTAAGATATCATATGCTACTAATCATTTACCTTTTTAGATTCTTAAGTTTCAAAGTCAAGTAAATCAAAGAAACTAAAAAAAAATATTATAAAATATTTTGATTTGTAATTTTTAAATTGAATATTTATTCTAAATAAAAACATTTAAAAATATTCAAACAACTTATTTTATAAATTCAAAATAAATTTTCATTAAATAAGATGATCACGTTTAATCATATCTTATAGTTATAATTATTATAGGGGTTGTGTAATAATGTGTCATTTGCCAAATTCATAAAGAGTTTAAAAACTAATCAGAATAAAGATGAGATTACTCCTGAGCTTCTAAGAAAAATAGGAGTTAAACACGCCTTAATGGTTCATGCTGGTCCAAATCCAACAACTCAACATCTCGACAATCTTTTAAAAATCGCATTAAGGCATAAAATTAACCGTCTTGATGCAGGGAAAAATTACGCTTTAGGTGATCCAGAATCGAAGAAGGTGCCCAAATCTAAACCAGAGACAAGTGATGATCTAAAACTTCAAGCACAGGCTTCTTCACCTATACACTAGGCTAGGAATAGCGGTACTCAGGACCAAGCTGAAAGAAAGTCTCAGCAGACTATAGATATGGATTCAATGTTAGCTGAAATTGATGCAATGCTAGCTAAAATTCAGAAATAAATGCTAGCATATGTAAGGTTCAATTATTCTGAACATCTGGGAATCTGGGAATCTGATCCAACTAATCCAGAGCAGGTCAAAGGCGCTTTGCATGATCACCAAAATACTGCGTAATTTTATTTTTTTGAATATAATCAATCAATCTATTAGTAAAATAGGCTCGGCTAATTTATTTTTCGATTAAAGATACAGCATATATTAATTATGATACATACAAGTGTTTTTAATATACAAGAATTACTAGAATAGATTTTACATTTCTTAGCGATAAATAAGTCACTTTATCCCGTCTTATTTGTTAACTGATTTTGGTATTACACTGCAGAACGAATACTATGGAAGCATATTGAATTCTTAGACTCTCTACGGCAAAAAACGTTTTTGCGTATTTGCAGAAACTTAAGATCATTTTATTAAGTAAATGTAAGAAATCTCATTTTCCTATTCTCTTATGATAAATTTTTGGACAAAGACTTAAATGGAATAATAGGCTCATACCCAAATATAGTATATCTAAATTTCACTATTACACATAATCTAGCTATCAGTAAAACCGCAATTATTAATATAATACATTCATATCCAAATATATTAAGGCTAGATCTCTTAGAATATAACTTTATTACTGATACTGCTATTAAAGAAATAGCAAATTCATGTACAAGATTAGAGCATCTCAACCTTGGAGTATGTAGTCTAATCAGTGAAGATTCTATATGCATTATTGCACGTTCATGCCGAAATCTTAGTTATCTAGATCTAATGCAATGTAGTATTAGTGATAAAGCTGTTAAAGAAATAGCGAAATCATATCATAAATTAGAACATCTTGATGTATATGGCTGTAATGGTATTACTGATTCGGGTATTCGTGACATTGCGCGATCATGTCCTAAACTCCAATTAGGGTTTCCATTTGAAATTCAAATTGAATTTCAAATATTTGAAAATTTTTTAAAAAATATTCAAACGAATATTGAAATTATTTCAAATATTTGAAATCAGTCAATCAATTCAAATATTTGATTTTTTTATTTGACAAACAAATATTCAAATATTCTATTTTTAAACGAAAACCCTAACTCAAATATCTAAACCTCGGTAACTGTGAGATGATTGGTAATTCAGCTATTAGAGAAATTACTCGTTTATGTTCTAACTTAAAATACTTTAGTCTAGAGGGTTGTAAATGTAGCAGAAAAGTAATAGAAAAGCTTGATCGGAATATTGAGGTAGAATGGTTTGGTACAGAAAGTGATTGGTCTGATACAGGTAGTGAAAATGTGTCAAATCTATCTGGCCTGGAGTGGTGATCACCAGCTCGAAAGATTTTTTGCTGAACTACATCACATATGCTTATGTAACAAAAAATATAGATTAGCTAACATGTTCTAGACACAGACACTAGCTGAATTTTTCACACAATTGAAATAATAAAAGCCCTCTCTGATAAAATCTTATTAATGAATTTTTATATTACCACACTTGAAACATTTCCTAAAGGATTGTCTAAACTTTTGAAGATATGCTCTTGCATTTTTATCGGCTTCTAATCCACTTATTTCTAGATTAGTATAACTGACAATACTAAGATCATTCTGAATCATGCTTATTTTCTCTTCTGAATATAAAAGCAAATGATATAATGTTCCTTTCTCAAAATCTTGTATATTTTCATATAATATAGTAAGAATAGGCTAGCAGGTCACATCAAGATTTCACTGTATATCTATTAATTCTCTTACCAAATCAAATAATAGTCCAAACAAATCTTCAAGTGTTTTTTCTTTTTTGCTTTGATTCAATGCTGTTTGATTTCTAATCTCAATAGGTCCCTTCCTCCGGTCTGGATCCATACCAAGTTTTTTTTTGAATAGCTATTATATCTTTCTTCTTATATAAAAGCACTTCATATAATTGAGCTTCGCTTTTATCAGAATTAATATTAGTATTGCTTGTCATGATTGTGTTTATCTCTGGTTAGCATATATTCAATTTTGTGTCTGAAATACTGATCCTTAACCCAAAGCAGTGATCACCAGCTCGGAAGAATTTATTGAGCCACAGATTGTGTGACAATAATCTTATTTTTTGATTGAAAAATTCTTCTAATCATATAAAATGCATACAACTAATTTGCTTGATCAGCTTGCATCTGAATTAATACCCTTTATTCTAAAGAATTTATCGATACAGAATCTCTATAATTGTAATAACATAAATGATATATGGAAAAAAAAGTCAGTCTCAAACTGATTAAAAGATCCGAAAGAAAACAACTTCTATATTGAGATCTCATATTTCAAAAGTTGTATTACCAGCCTGAAGGTTATTATCAGACCGCTAAAAAAATGCAGGATGCTTGTAAGAAGATCAGATATAAGTTTACTGTTGCAGAGATCGAAGATTGATTAAACAAACAGGCCATATATCAGATACACAAGCCTCTGCCAAAGTTTATTTGTCCATTCCGATTTAGGACAATTCAGAACTGTGATCATCAGTTCGGAAGAATTTACTGAGCCACATATTGTGCGACAAAAAAATAGGTGAATCACCAGACAGGTTTGTGTGGCATATTAATTTTTGCATATATAATCGAAAAAGAAACCATATTAACCTTTATTCTTTATTTTTTCCCTGAACAAATATGAGAAAATGTGAAAAGGCGTCTAGTCGCAATGCAGGACCTACTGTAAAAGTAAATATTAATGTCAAAAGCATATATTATGAAGAGCTGAGCAACTCTCAATTTCGAGATTGCTAGGCGTAAAGCCAACTATATATCTTTCCGGTAAATCTACATATGAAAAAATATGTGCTTTCAAAATGCTCTTGATATCATACGACAAAGCTAATTACGCCTTATATTTCCTTAACTTTTTCTAGCAAGATATAAAGCATGCAACGGTATGTGGAAGTTCAGCCAACTTTCCTGCAAAAAATTTCCTAAAAAACATAATGCAAAATAAGGTATGCATATACCCTAAATTATGTATGTATAGGAGCGAGTTTTCTCACCATGAGTCTTGTATTTAGGAAAGCAAGATGTCTGATACTATTATTACTCTCAATTGTCTTCCACTAATCGAAATAATCCATTTTGTCACTTTTTTAAAGTACTGAATGTTGGCTGAAATATAGTCTAATTTCTGCCGATCATTGCCAAAACAATCGGCATTTTTAGTATAGCTGAAGTTGCACATTTTCATGCTATACAAAAAAACATTCGACATTAACGATTGGTAGTTATTTAATATATCACTAGGCAAAATAATATAATTCGTTACACTTAAAGTGCCGAAAGTTAGCCAAAATTTAGTCTAATTCTACTGATTATTGCCAAACAATCAGCATTTTGAGTAAATAAAAAATCGGTTATCAATGAGCATTTATGTTAAAAATTGGTCAAAATTCGGCATAAATCAGCTTAAAATCAGTCAACAATTATAAAAAATCAATTAAAAAATCGAAACTAATAAAACTAATTTTTGTTTATTTATGATTTATAATTTTATTTTATTATTACATAATAAATTACCCAAAAAGAATATATATTGTATTATATTTATTCAAAAAAGATACATTTGATTTTTTAAATATAAAAAAAATAAAGAAAACAGCTAGAAAACCACCAAAACATCACCTCCGAAAGGCTAACCTTAATGTATTCCTAAAAAAAGTAAAGAAAAAAATAAAGAAAACAGTTAGAAAGCCACCAAAATATTACCTCCGAAAGGCTTACCTTAATGTATTCCTAAAAAAAGTAAAGAAAAAATAAATAAAACAGTTAGAAAACCATTAAAATATCACCTCTGAAATGCTTACCTTAATGTATTCCTAAAGAAAGTAAAGAAAAAATAAAGAAAACAGTTAGAAAACCCACTAAAAACAACCTGCGAAAGGCTTACCTTAATGTATTCCTAAAAAAAGTAAAGAAAAATAAAGAAAACAGTTAGAAAACCACCAAAATATCACTTCCGAAATGCTTACCTTAATGTATTCCTAAAGAAAGTAAAGAAAAAAATAAAGAAAAAAGTTAGAAAACCACCAAAATATCACCTCCGAAATGCTTACCTTAATGTATTCCTAAAGAAAGTAAAGAAAAAAATAAAGAAAACAGTTATAAAACTACCAAAATATCACCTCTGAAATGCTTACCTTAATGTATTCCTAAAGAAAGTAAAGAAAAAATAAAGAAAACAGTTAGAAA